TATTTTTGTTTCAACAGTCAGTTCACTTTGAAGGAGATTTACAGTTTCTGGTGCTTAAATTAGTCCAACAGCTTGCTGATTTTCAGGGGTTTTATTTTTTCCAATCTCTTTCTCTGTGTTTCGTTCTGGATGGTTTCTGTTGCTGTGTCTTCAAGTTCGCTAATCTTCTGCAGTCTCTATTCTGTGGTAATGCCATCACGGGTGCTTCTCCTCTTAGACATTGTAGTTTTCATCTCTAGAAGTTTGTATCTAACCTTTTATATCTTCATACGTTTGTTGTGTCTTCTTGTGTTCTGTGTGTGGGTGTTAGGCCCATTCCTTCCAATCCTTGCAGGTGGTTCTCCCCAGCCTCGAGCGCTGTGTGCGCTCCGCTCAGCCCTTGCTGGTCTCCAGGGCCCCTCTGTGCCACTCTCTCACCTCTGCTCCTCTGTCCTGTGGGCACTCCATTCGAGGAGTCTGCAGGCTCTGCCGGGCTCCCCTTCCATGCACTGCTGCCTGGAGACCTCCAAGGGACTCACCTGGTGTATCCCATCCCTCAGGAGTGGCTGTCCTCCGTTGCTTGATGTCCAGGGTCTTGAAGACCAGTGTTTCATGTGTTATGTCTGGTTTTCTGGATTTTTTAGGCAGGAGGGTATCTAGAAGCTGTTACTCCATCTTACCCAGAAGCAGAAGTCTGGACTTATTTTTGACTCACAGTAACACACTGATCCTTGCTGCTTTACCCTCCAAGATAAACTACTTTTACAACATACGCTTGGTCATCCAGGGCAGCTGGTTTTATGGGACTGTGACTGAGTGAACGCTGGGTCAACATCTCCACGTCTTAGTCAGATTCCCTGGAAGGCAGAGACTGAGGTGGATTTAAGGTGCCTGGCTGGGGAAGGGCATTCAGGGCAGCAGCGTGGACGACTGGAAGGGAGGCAGGAGAGATGTGAGAGGAAAGGGTCCTGCATCCGCTGCTGCATCAGGACAACGCAGCCTGTGTCTGCTCGACGGGCGGGCCGAGCTTCAGGGGGCGGCTGCCGCACGCGTCGTGGGGAGCCATACTCCCAGAGAAGCTGCCCAGCGCCTCTGGCTGGTCATCCTGCCCTTCACGCCCCCATCCCTCACCTGTGCTGCCATGTTCCGTCGAGGCAGATGTGTGGGAGGCTGGCCTGCCTGGCTGCGCGGTGGTAGCCCCAGGGAGGGAGCGCCTGGCAGCAGGGATGTGACTCTGGAGAGGAGTGGGACACCCCAGAACCATGGTGCCCACCGGCCGCCTGTCACTGCCTACCGTGACGAGATGGCGGCATTAGGGACCCGTGCCATGGAGATTCACCACCCCGCGACGGCAAGGTTGGAGCCCTCTGTCCCGCACAGGGGAGGACGGCCACACTGGCTGCAGGATTCCCACGCAGGGTCTCGTGCAGCCACATGGTCTGCACTGACTCCTCAGGTCTCATCCAGAGATGCCGTCACACAGCTCATCTTGTTTACATCAGCACCATCAGAACTCAGTGAAGGTGTGAAGCCTTTTAAGGAAACATTACAGCCGCCTCTTCCCAGTTCTTTTCATCTGCAGGGAGTGGAGCCGTAGGTGGGCTGCCCTCTGGCTCCAGGTGCCCAAGTCTGGCTCCCTTGGGGGCGGTTAAGCCGTCGGCTCTACCTGCTCTGCTGGGTCAGTTCCCTACTCCTTGCTGCCGTGTGGTTCTGGAACGAACACAGTTTTATCAAAATGAGGTGACAGCTAGAGAAAAAGGAGACACTTTGTCTTGGAGATTGTGCAAAAATTCAATTTTTAAAGGACGAAATTTAACCTAGGAGTCGTGACTATTAACTTTTTACCCAGATCCTTTAGAACTATTTAATCCTTACAAACTGAAGAAGAAAAACCTTTTCTGTGATCCGGGGCCTCTCGTGAACAGCGTTCGGGCACCCTGTGGCCTCTGGGTTCACGAGAACGTTCCAGCTGTGCTTTTATCGAAGATGCTCTTAGGAAGGTAAGTTGTCGAATGCGTTTGTGCTTTCAGTTTGATTTTCTGCTTTTTAAGTGTTTCCTGAGCTATATGGTAAATGAGTTTGCTAATTGGCCTGTTATTCCCTGCTTCTCAGCCGACGCGTAGTGGTGTGTTTGTTTGGTGGTTTACGGTGACATTTTCACAGGATTAAGTAGGAAAACTCTTTCAGCCAACTGAGCCTGGTTTGCCTGATATTTTCAGTGCTTGTGTACAACACAGCACACACACGCAGCCCTGCCACCCGCTGTGTGTACCCATCGGGAGTATGTGCATGGGTCACCAGAACACACGGTCAGAAACACTCCCGTGCTCACCCTTCAAAAAAGCCAAGTACTAGGAAAAAGCCAAGCGAGGAAGCGTGCTGTGGCGTCTTCCCACCGGGAACCTGTGCGGCTGCGGGACGAGGCGGCCGCCATGCTGTGCGGAACGGGGGTGTGTCTCACTCACGTAATCTCGACTGAAAGATGGCAGACAAAGAGGAGCACCCGGATATGAGCATCCGTTTACATCAAGTCCAGGGTGGCAGCGCGAGTCCACGTTGCTGGAGGGCGGCGTGGCGGCTCCGTGGGGCAGGGGCGGTGACCACAGAGCCAGGGGCCCCGGCCGCCAGGGGCTTTGTTCATGTACCAGATGCTGGTTACGGGCATGCACACTCTGTGAGGAGCCATCAAGCTGTACACTTGCTATTTGTTATGCTTCAATTGAGATACTTAGGAAAAGTGAAATGATTAAATGCCCACGTCTTAGAATGAAAAAGTGATTCAGCAGCTTAACGGGAAAGGCAGACACCTTGGACGCACCCTGAGGCTTTTCTCAGAATCCGGTCTCTTTCATATCGGGAAGGACCTACAGGTTTCTGAGCTTTAAGCTGGGTGGATGGAAGGGCCCTGTGTTGAGACTGAGGCTGGCGACATTGGAGGGGGGCAGGCAGGGGGCGCGGGTGAGCCGAGCCAGAACCGACCGTCGAGGTTGGGGACATTGGAAGGGGCAGGCGGGGGGCGTGGGTGGGCTGAGCCATTTGAGAGGACAGTGGCTAGATGAGTCTGACATTAGAGGACAGGTCTGGCTGGAGGCAGAGTTCGGGAGCTCATGTCTTTGTAAACGTTAGCAGGTCAGTCCTGTGACCTGAGGGACAGTGGGATGGTCTGTACCGTCTGCTCCATCTCTGGCGCGTGTCTGCCTCACACCAGCCTCGTCAGTGTCATGGACCGGGACCTCCCTGAGCTGGGATCTAAGTCATTTAACTTCCAGACTCTTCACTGGGTCTTTGAGAAGGATTGTGTAGAGCAGACGGTCCCAGAGCCCGTGGCTGGGCAGCTAGACTGCGCCCCATGGCGCTCAGAAAGATCTCAGAGGCGGCCACTGTGGCCTGTAGAGCAAAAGATTATAGTGGAAACCAGGCAGCGTTGTGGGTGGATGGACAGAGGACGTGCACCTTTTAATCTGCGCCCTTCCTGTAAACAGATAATTATTTTTCAAGCATCCATTTAGTGCGTGGTAACCCTGAGTCACATTCTGACTCACTGTGAAGTCTCTGGGTTAGAGACAATGTAATACCTGGGGACACTGGCTGCTGACGAGCGTGAGTCCTCTCGGGACCGGCAGCAGCTTCTGGTACCCTTAGGTGTTTCCTCCACGTGGGAGACGAGCATCCCGCTGCCTCTTTCCCTCCTGGAAGCAGCAGTCGGTGCGGCGATGCTTGGGAACCAGTTCCTGCTCGGGGAGGAGCTCCCCGCCACCGTCCACAGGGTTTGTGTTAAATGCCACGGCAGCCCTTTGAGAAGCCCCAGCAAATGCTTATTACACTTTCTGGTTTTTTAAGGAACAGCCCCTACTCGCCCTGAGTGCTGAGGCTTCGAGTTCACACACGCACCAGCCTGAGACCATGGAGGTGCAGGCGGGCCGGCCTATCTGAGACCAACCGCTCCCCTGACCGCCCTCCGCGCTCACCCTCCGGGTGGGGTTCCGTCCGCCTTACAAGCGCACGGACTTCACATTAAGCACACATTGTCCCTTTTAGTAAATGTCCCAGACCTCCGTGGCACATAGATGTGAATTTCCTCCCTTTGCTGCCTCATCCTACCTTCAGATGACCCGCAGGGCTGCCCTGGAGAAGTGAGGCCTCTTTTCATGCGGAAGCTTGAGATGAGATCTCCACACTCTGAGCCAGGCCTGGTGGCCAACCTGAGCCAGCCAGACCTGCTCGTCTCGGCTTTAATCTCCTGTACGAGAGAGGGGTAAATGGCCACTGGAGCAGATGAAGAGCAAGGGGGCGGGAGCGGAAGCCCCGTGGAGCTGGGTTAGCGCCCCGAGCTGTGGAGAGCGCGTGCGGCCGTGCCCAGACCTGGGCCAGCTCCTCTTGTAGGCATGTTGTAAAGACTCTCATCCTTAGTCTCTTCCGATTGGGGTGACCCATATCATCCATGTGAATGGATTATCAAGTCCGATATACGGATGGGGTTGTCTGCGTTAATTCTCAGTTATCTGAGTGTCTTTTCAAAAACTTTCAACCCCACGAAACGAGCCTTAGAGCAGTTAAGACAGGACAGTTTAAATGTGGTAAGAAAACGCGTGTAGGCTTTTGTGAGGAATTCAGATTTCTTGTATCTTGGGTGTAGCACCTGCGGGGCGGGGTGGCCCAAAGGCGCCTGGCCCCTGGCGTGCAGGGCGTGAGCAGCAGAGCGGGTGTGGTGCACTAGGAGCAGCCCCGCCAGCACGACTTTGTGGGATCGCGAGTTAATCCCAGTAGTGTCTCACCCATGTATGCATGGACCATCAGATTTCTGGCTCCGCTGGCCTGAGTGACCTCAGAAGTGCTGTGAATTTGCACGGTTTTAGGTTTCTGTGGACCTTCTGCCCGCCTCCCCAGCACAGAGAAGCATGTTTCTGAGCAGCAGAAGGTGGCAGGGGCCCGACGTGAGCCCGCCTGGGCCGTGTGCACTTTTTGGGCACCGAGCGCTATGCTGGGCTCCGCGTCACCTCGCCCGTGTCTCTCTGTTCCAGGCATCAGCAACGCAGAAGCGCGGCAGCCGGGGAAGGCACCCAACTTCAGCGTCAATTGGACGGTGGGCGACGCGGCCATCGAGGTCATCAATGCCACAACCGGGAAGGATGAGCTGGGCCGCGCCTCCCGCCTGTGTAAGCACGCGTTGTACTGTCGCTGGATGCGTGTGCACGGCAAGGTACTGAGGTGCCCTCGCGGCCTGCGCCGGCCCCACCTCCCCACAGCTTGTCCGTCCTCTCTCTACCGCTCCCGTCCGCCCCGCCGCTGTCGTCCCCATGGCCCTCCTGAAACCTCTCTGTTTCTTGGTGGTTTTCAGCTTAGAGTCTGGCCTGGCCCTCCAGATCCTAAAGCAGCCTCGGCCGCGGGGGCAGTGTCTTCCTTCCCCCCACCCTGGAATCTGACCCGCCTCCCCTGCCCCTCACGCCTCCTGGGGGAGCGTCTCGCCTCAGACCTGAGCATCCCAGGAAAGCAGAGCCGGGCCCAGCAGCTGGGTAGACCCGGGTTCAGTTCAGCCCTCCGGGAAGGCTGTTGACATCCTTTTGTCGGAGCAGAAGCTTCAGGGCCCTTTTTACCCCCAAGTGAGATCTTCTGTAGTCGATCAGTGTGTTGCCAGTTTTCGTTTATTTGTAAGCCAGTCGATGGCATTTGTTTATCTTGAAGCTGGCGCTGAACTTGGCATGGGAGGACAGACAGAAGGTGCCGTGTTCGGAGGCCCTGTCCGCACAGGTGCTCGCACGGGCCGGTGGACTCACGTGTCACAGACACGGGTTCGCCAGCCCTGGGAGGCAGCGCCGCGGGGTTCTTAGTGTGGTAAAATGTGCAAACGTCAGAGGTGTTGCTTTTTAAATAGCTGAAAACGTTAAGATGAAATCTGGCTCGACTGTTTGTGGGTTGCCAGAAGCACTTCCTAGGACCCGGGGTCTCCAGCTGCCTGCTTAGCCACAACCCGCTCCTCGGGGACGAGGAGCAGACCCTGAGAGAGGGGTTCCCGCCCGGTCTGCGGGTGGCCGTCCCTCGGGGGCAGGCTCCTTCTGCTGGGTGGCTTCCCCCCAGAAGCCTACGAACACCGTTTTCTGAACATCTTACTTGAGGTTTATTTCCTGCTCTTATTGCTTAAACAGTTGTACTTGTGTTTTCTCTTTTCACAGGTTCCCTCCAACTTATTACGCTCCAAGATCACTAAACCCAACATGTACCACGAGTCCAAACTGGCAGCGAAGGAGTACCAGGCTGCCAAGGCCTGTCTGTTCAAAGCCTTCATCAAAGCCGGCCTGGGCGCCTGGGTGGAGAAGCCCACCGAGCAGGACCAGTTCTCTCTCACACCCTGACCGGGCCTGGCGCAGGGCTGCCGGCCATCCAGCTCTGTCCGGGAACCTTACATCTGACCTTGGGGACAGGCCCGGGGCAGGGCTGCCGGGCGTCCAGCTCTGTCCCGGAACCTCACATCTGACCTTGGGGACGGGCCCGGGGCAGGGCTGCCGGGCGTCCAGCACTGTCCCTGGAACCTCACATCTGACCCTGGGGACAGGCCCGGGGCAGGGCTGCCGGGCGCCCAGCACTGTCCCTGGAACCTCACATCTGACCTGGGGGCAGGCGGGGGGATGTGGGGTGCCAGACGTCCAACACTGACCGCCAGAACCTCACATCTGACCTGGGGGCAGGCACGCGCTCCGAGGAGGGTGTGGAGAGGTGTTGGGGTCTCTCCATGGCAGCATTTCCCCTTTCGAATTATCCAGTGACTGCTTCAATCTCAGTTTACGTTTAGAAATTGAGTTCTACTGAGTAGGACTTCCTTAAGTTTAGGAAAATAGAAATTCCTTTGTGTGAAATTCTTGAATAATTTATTCAGAGCTAGGAACCTGGTTTGTAAAATAAGAAGAAATTACGTCAGGTCACTCTTACGCCACATTATTTTAACTGCAAAGAAGCATTTCTAGGTGGAGGAGGCGAGGACGTGGAGGGGGAAGCAGTAACCTGGAGAGACTGTCGAGCGTGTGTGCACGCAGGTCCCTTCTCCCTGCTGGCCCTTCCGTGACCCAGCTCCCAGCGCGGGGGTCAGGGCCCGCCGAGGGAGGAGGCGCCCACAGGATGGGGCCCGACCCTCCACGCACACAAGTCCACGTCGCGGCAGCCTGGCGGGCTGTCCCGTGGAGTCGCAGCCCAGCTCCCTCGGCTTCAGCCTCCTCTAGATGCTTCCGTGCCCCTCGTAGGATCATGTCATGGGAAACTTTTCTTGGTTTACTTCTAAATGATCAAAGGTAAAACATGGCCAGCAGTCCTGGCCAGTCATTTGGGTTTTTAAGCAGTAGTTTGCTCTTAGAGACTAGAAGGCATCATGGGGGCCCCTGCACGTAGCCCTGAGCGCCCGCCGCCTCCCTCTGAGCCCCGCGGGCAGGAGCGGCCGTCCCCGGATCTTCACAGGATGGAGGTAGAGTTCGCTAAGTAGATGTTCATTCTTGGAAAATAACACTTAAGGTATATTTTTAAATTATTCTTTCCAGCTTTATCAAAGACGTGTTTGAAAAATAAGACGTATGCAGGCTGACAGCTGGGGGGGGCGGCGTGCCGCGGGCGTGGTCTCCACCAGGGTCCAGATGGTGATTGTCACGGCAGGGAACGGGGTGCTGCTGGCGTCTGGGGGACCCTAGGACGCTGCTTCACGCCCGACAGCACACAAGAAGGCCCCGGGCAGGCTAAGCCAGCCAGCAGGCCGGCCGTGGTCGAGGGCCCTGGGTGGCCCGCCTCGGCCCGGGCTCCGAGGTCTGCACCATTTGCCTTGTGCTTCCACTCAGGATCGGGGGAACCAGACAGAGCGCTTCCTGCCCTTTGCCCATTCAGTGCCAAGTCGTGGCTCCAGAGGGGGTCTCGTGGGTGCTGCAGGCAGAGACGAGGGCAGACCCCGCCCCACAGCAAAATCCAGGATGTCGACACCTGTGAGGCATTGAGCTGTGTCCTGTGTCCTTTACGGGCTCAGAAAATGTGGAACAGGAGCAGAGCGGCCTGCTGTCATTCTGGCCCAGACCTCGTGTGCTCAGAGCAGGAGGTTTAGACCCAGAGCGCCATGCCTCTTGATGCCTCCACCTGTCTGCACCCAGCGGCGAGGGTGACGCGTTGCCGGGGACTGACCAGGTTCAGAGGACGAGGGGCGCCCACACCAGCCTTCTCCCCTTCTGCAGGGTAGCTGCTCGTCCCGAACCAGTCAGAGCGCGGGCCTCAGCCCCGTTGCCACAGCAGGGTCTGGCTTGGTTAGGATGTGCTGGAGTTTCCTTTGCACAAAATGAAGGGGGTCTGGTGGGTTGCTGCCCCTGCCCAGAGCAGGCTCTTGCACACTCAGAAAAACATCTTGTGAGTCCCTGCGTTTTTATTCTTGTCTCTCTAAATGGTATTTTTTCTAATGGGGATTGGGAGATGGACTTAGTTTTTAAAAAAAAATGTGGGTTTTGATTACAAAGTGGAGTGGAAATATATTCCGTATACATACAGACGAACGGTATGTCTAGAGTGTCCCTTCTGTCAGATCATAGCTGGAATCAGCCTGAGGCCCCCGTCCCCACCCCAGGGAAACGAATGCCTTACTGTAAGTGTGCGGGTCCCAGCGGACCCCCCAGCTGTGCGCTGCCGCCGTTCCCAGGTGGGGTTTCTGGACTGTCCAGGACAGGCCGATGCAGGGCTGGCACCCGAGAAAGCCCAGGCTGAGCCTGTGGGCCTGGGGAGGAAGGTGGCAGAGGGGGAGCCCCAGGCCGGAGGGAGCAGAGCCTCCGTCTGTGAGTCAGGCCACGGGCGGGGCAGGAGGCCGCACAGCCCCCACCCCTGGGACAGGACTGCTGGAGCGACTCGTCTGCAGAGCAGAAAAGAGAAGGAAATGTTGGCTCCTCCGTGAGACAAACCAGGAAGCTTAACACTTTAAACTCCCCCCAAGTGCGTGTTGTGAGATATCCAGCGGCTGTATCCTTGAGGTCTTATTTGGCATCCAGTGTCCTTAATCTGGTTTTTAGAGACTTATCAGAAAATTCAACACAATAAAGAACTTGATTTTTTAAGAAAAATCTTAAATTTTGAGGACATTTTGACCAGTGTGGGTCGGGAGGGTTTCTATTCTGTTTTGTTAGCCAAACCTGAAGTGTTAATTCCGCAAAGCCTCTGGCCCTTCTGTGGTTCTCAGGCCCATGGGCAGCTGTCCCGACCGCGGGAAGGCGCGAGTGCTGTGGGGCCGAGTGGGGGGACGTTGTCGCATCAGCCCTGATGCCTGCGCAGGGTCGGGAGCTTTCCCCTCTTGCAGGCACGGATGCCAAAGAACTGTGATTTTGATTCTGGGTCTTAACTGAACTTTTTCTGCTGGAGAGTTTCTTTGTAATCGAAACTGACTTTATGTTAAAATGTACAAGCCAACATCTCAGAAGGCGTTGATGTCTCTGGAATTTATTTTCATTCAGATAATCTTGTTGATCTCCAGACGGTAGCATCACTGCTTTCGCTGTGAAGACAGCGTCCTCGTGCCCTCAGGGAGTGGATGAGGGGTGGCGGGCGCCGTCCTCCCCTCCAGGTGCAGGTCCGAGAACAGAATCCGAGTTGCCTTGGAGAGGGCTGTGTCCCTGTCCGGCCACTTTTCTCAGAAAAAGAAAAAAAATACAACACGGATAGATCCTTTTCATTTCTAAAATATCTTACACCAAAATATAAGTCTGCCTCGACTGTAAATTTGATCCCGTGTGAGAAGTGAAATTAGCTAGGTTTCCCACCTCTAAATTCTATTAAATTAGGGAATCTCAAAACGTTTCTTTTCATCAATCCCAAACTATATAAATGAAAAGCGCAGTCTTTGTGATCATGTGTGTCCAGTTTTGTGTGTCCTTGTCCCCTGGCGCGTCCTTTGACTGCCTCTCCCCATCCAGCGGCCGACCCACGGGCTCTGTGTCCACACCGGGGAGGGCAGGCGGGGCGGGCCTGCTCTGTGCTGACGGCAGCGAGCCTGCACTTGTGTCCCTTGTTGGGAGGACGAGCCCCCAGCCTGGGAGCACTTAGTTTGGCCACAGCAAGGGCTGAGCCGAGGGCTGTCCTTCTGGACGCGAGGGTCAGTCTGTGGCATGTTCGCAGAAGGAGCCCCAAATGCTGTTTGCTTCTCCAGACTTTGAGTTATCGTGCTTTTGAGTTTGTTCAGAATTTGGACACTTTGTATGAATGTAATTCCGCCGAGGGACCTGTCCCCAGACACAGTCCTCAGTGTCCTCTGTATGTATATTGATGTATATACCACACAGTGCAACCTGCATGAGCTTCCTTGCACCGAGACCAGCCAGAACCGAGCATGAGACGCCGTCGCATAGACAAAGGATTTGAGATGTTCTCAATAAAAACAAAGTGTTTCACTACTGCAGTGTTGCTGAGATTTTCTCTCCTTCCTAATTTCTTCTCCCCTTGATCCACGGAGAGGTGGGATCAGTCCCAAGGCACATATTTGGGAGGGTGTGGATAAATGCCGGCTGACTCTGGTCCTGTCGTCTGTGTGTGGCACCGTTTGGGGACAGGGTCTCTGAGTCCTCTCCCCCTTGGATTCTTGGCCTCTTCACCATCTTTCTGAGCGTGTTGGCCACTCCCACAGGTAAGGCGGCCTAGAGGACCGTTAGGGCTGCCCTTGCACCTGTCCTGTCTATGGAAAGGGATGATGACGTGCGCCCACATGACCTCTGGGGCATGTGAGGGCGTTGTGGATGGGAGAACACGGGAAGAGCCGGACACCACAGTGAGGCATCGGCCAGACAGGCTGGGCATTTGAGGACGGGAGCAACACAGCTACCAAGTTAGGGAGAGCTCCGTTCTTTAGGACTGACATTTCAGAAGGACGTTCATGATGGGCTCGGGAAAACTGGCTGCAAAGCAGTGTTTATGTTCCTGATCGTAAGGAATTGCAGATGCCCTGTGTGAGTGTCAGGCCGCCCAGAACAGTCTGGAAGGGGCCAAGTCTGGTCTTCGTGTATGGATGGTGGGATTTGGGTAATTTTAATTTTGTTTTCCCTTTTTAAAGCTTTTTTGTTTAATGTTCCTACAATTAAATGAAAAACAAACAGGAAAATGTTTTGAAAAGTCCAAAGCTCCATACAAATAAAAAGCATTGTTATAGACAAATAATTCGCGCTCTTTTGCATTAATTTTGATTCTGTTCTTTCATTTCTTTTCCCACGATGAAAGCAACATTAAAATGAAAGTACGTTGCATCAAAACAAAAAAGATTAAGCTTCTGAGAAAAGATTAGGGGTGACGTCCCCTCACGAGTTCCATCCGTGGACAAGGACTCCCCGTGGACGTCTTCTGTGGCACATGCGTGAGCATCAGGGCTCCCTCTCTGATGGGACTGACCTGGTGCTGGGGACAGGTCCCTGAGCGCGACAAGGGCCACAGCCCTCAGGGAAACATAACCCCACTGGACAGTTGGTGTCATGGTAGAATGCTCCGGAAAGAAGGACAAGGTGAGGGAGGGGAGGTGGCAGCTTGCCGTATTCAGTGCCGAGACTGGGTGGGCCTCGCTGGGAAGACTTTGAGGCCGATGGACTGTCCGAAAAAACAATTACTTAATAAATTATTAAATTAATAGCATTAATATTAAAATGTAAAATTGAACATTAAAACTTAATTATTTAATAATTATTAATATTATCAATAAATTAATAAAAGCAGAGGGGACAGCCCAAGTGAGCCTGGCAAGTTGTGAGCGCTGGTCCAGCAGCAGAGTGCTGTTGCCCAAGGCTGAAGTTGAGGAATCTGGGGAGGCAGGAGTCAAACAGCCAGGATTAAATCACATTCTATAAACTCGCAGTTCCTTGTAAACCGGTAACGAGTACTCAGAGCGTCACTTGCTAGTTACTGCGCTTGCTGCCCTCCGTGCTGTGCACGTCCTGCGTGTGGCACAGCCGCCCCAGCCGCTCGGGGCCCTCACGTCGGCAGCCTGGAGGCAGCCCTGGTGGGAGTGTGCACCCACGGATGCCGCAGACCCACAGCTCGGGGCGTGCCCTCTTGTTGGTCTCCCTCGACCTGAGAAAGTGTTGCAGAAAAGGCACATCACACAAAATGCACCTCTTATACTGTGAATGGCACAAGAATAGAGGACGTGTTCTTGCAGCATCGGAGAACCACCTCCCACTCGAGCAGAGGACCCCCCGGTGACCGCGTGAGGCTCCGACGTGTGTTTGTGGTTTCACCTTCATCTGACTCGCACATGGAGGCGTCCGCCGGCGTTCTGGTCAGAACCACACTCGTTCATCAGTCGCGGCCGCGTGTTGGCTGTGGATGCAGCGGTTCAGCAAAAACCTGCAGCAGCGTTCTGGGAGGATCACCAGCTCTGCGGGATACTCAAGAGTCTATTTTATCGTTGTTTGTAAAGTGTGCACTGCAGTCTGCACACCCGTGAAGTTGACGCGAGGCGTAGGTACCCGCATAGACGCCGGGAGAGAGGGCGCGTGGTGAAGCAGCCACTAGCACACCCCGGGGCTGGGTGCCTCCAGAGCAAAACCATCTGGGGCAAAGGCTGTGCTGGTGAGGGGCCTCGTGTGGGGGATAATCAGCCTCTGGCAGTTGCTTCCCCACCTGACCCCACCACCCCGACAGGTGAGTGACAGTCTCCTCCTACAGAGCCAGGGGGTGACACGGGGCCTGAAGGATGAGTGACTGGACAGCTGACATCAGGGGCTCGTCCTTCTCTTCTTACCCTTCAGCTCCCTGCGGCCCTGAGGTCTCGCCTCCCCATACACACCACTGACCAAGTGGCCAATACCCCCGGGGAACATGACCTCATAAGGAGATAAAAGACACTTGAAAAGTACAGCTAAATGAAAATGGTAATATCGAAAGAGAGATTCCATCAATATATTCTAATATTTTAGAACAGTCCAAGAATTTAAAATGAATTTGGTAAAATTCTGTAAGAGAGAAAGAAAACAAGAGAACCAAGCAGAATTTGAAATAGTGAACGCAACAGGTGAGCTAAATAATAGAATGAATTTACAACTGGAAGCCCAGATAGGAAAAGGCAGGGAGGAGGGAAAAGAGAATAGAAGAAATGCTGGACCGTCTGGATGCCAGCCGTGGGAGAGCCGACGTGTGGCTGATAGGGTCTCCGGGTCATTGTCAGCTGTGCCCCCTGGAGCCGCTGCGGATGGAGCCACACGTCTGGGACTCCTGACAAGAAAAAGACAAAAAACAAAACTAAATGGAGGAGAAAAGGTCGAAAGGAAACGATCTTGGCCACGTGCAGACAACTCTTGGAGCTGGTGCCTGGGAATTCATCATACTGTTCTCTCCACTTTCATGTATTTAAAATTTTTCAGAAGGAATTTTGAAAGTTTGAGCATAGACTTTTTAAAATACCACTTTACGGGACTCTAAAAGTGCTCATGGGATTTTTTTTTTTTTTTACACAAAATGCACATAGAAAAAAAATTTAATGCTGTAAAATGTAAATTTTCCAAGTTAAAAAAATAAGGGAGATATCAGGAAGGTTTTTAAATTGCAATCCTGTCCTTCCTTAGAGAGTCATTTAAATGCGTCTTCGTGGAAGTGAGTGCGTCAGACATCTGGATCTTGCGCTCCGGCTCCTGCTTGGTTCCTCAGAACGCCTGTCACTCTGGCGTGGCTTGCGTTTGCTTATTTGTCCGCCTCAGAATGTAAACACAGAGGTCAGACACCGGCTTGTTCACGCTGTTCCCCGTCACCTGGCGCAAGCCTGCTGTGCTGCAGACACTTAGTAAATGTATACGGAAATAATAAAAATGACCCACAGGCATGCAGAGCCTCAGAGCTTTGCCCCATGAAGACCTACATTGAAAGCAGGTTGGGTGAGATGCTTAAATGGAGAAGCAAAATGTACGAACTCTTACAAGAGGCTTATGGAGTAAAAATGATCCATATGTTGGTAAGTTTGTGGTGGTTTTTAAAAAGCTAAGTTCAAAGTAAAAGAGAACACATAGCCTTAATAACCCAGAATTTAAGGCCTAGGTAACATCAAAGTGACAGAAGCTGGAGTGATGGGGACACTATAGGATCTGAGAATATATTTAGGTTTTTATCTTACTGGGGCGGAATTATGAACATGTATTATTTTCATAATGAATACCTGTCAAAGATTTTACTTAACTCTAGTTAATGAGGAAACTAATAAGATCTTGAAACCCATTCCATTGAGAATTTGACTTACTCTGCTGGATTAAATGCATTTGACCTTTTTTCTGCTTTGCTTGGGCAGAAAATAGTAGGGCCAAAATGGAAGTCAACACCTGGAGGATCATTTCTGACCTCGTGAACATGGAGTGTCTCCGGTTGCTCCCTCCCCTCCGCGCTCAGCTGACTGACATTTAATTTCACCTGTCAGTAGGCTACTTACTTCTCTACTCGTTTCTAATTTTCTGTAGACGAATTGAATATTCTTAAATAATACTGCAAACACACATTGCCGTGTGCCAGCTACCAGACTGATTAGTTTTTAGCAATATATACCTTTCTTTTTTCATTAAACACAAAGAAGACTTTGATAGTGATGTTAACAGAGTTAACGGCGGAGGGCTTTTTGAAAATGATTTTTATACTTAATTCTTATTTACTCTTTGGGTCCCACGAGTAATGTTCAATATGCCCATATACACAAATCTTTTACCATTTTTCTCACTTACTGCATAACCTGAACAGTAACTACGTGTTTCATTAAATTGGTATAAATTAAGAAAAGCCGCATACAGATTCATTTTCATTTAATGGCATGTTATAAAGTGGGTCAATTAATTAAATCTACATGTCTTAAATGTTGACTTCACTACCTTCAGTAATTTATCTTATAAGGTGTGTTTTATAATTTTTCACTGGTTTGCTTTATGAATATCCCTGAAAAGCACATTAACACTTTTATTTCACTTGAGAAAGTGGGTCAGACCTTTTCTGCAGAAAATAAGTCTAATGTGGGTCATTGGTTTGACAGGGAGGAGTATGTTACGTGGAGGACTTTGGCCATAAATAGAATGAACTAAATCTGCGTCTCCAAGGTTTGATGCAAATGCATTTAATATAGAGGTATGATAAAAAGCCTTTTATTGCAAAGTATTGGATTGGCAAAAAAAGCTATGAAATTAACAACACTTCAGTGTTCCCAACCCAATCAGAATATATCAGGTTACACAAGGTGCACCTAGGTGACAGGATCATGCATAAATGACGGTCCCTTGATAAGTTGAGGTGAGGACTCCCCAGTAAGTGCTCCAGAAATCGAGAACCCGGATAACAAATCCTTTTACAAGTCAAACACTTTCTGATCCTTTGCCTCGAAAGGATTTGAATGAAAGCCCAATTGAATTGACAATGGATAAAGGATTAAGATAATTTTTAATTTTTTGTTTCAGATCACCTTGTGATTTGAGGGATATAACTTAGGAGTTCAAGAACAACTGAGGGACATTGCTATAATGTGCCTCCCTATCTACATATTGCTGCAAGGTGTCCTAGAATTTACAGCTATAAAAACAAGATTAGAAATAGAACGGCGGCTGAAGTGTGTCTCACTGTGGCCAAGTGCTCCTGAGTCTTGCGTATGGACCCATCAGGTTGGAAAAACAGCCTTACTAATCTCATTGAGAGATGTATTTTCACTGAAATTTTGCTCTCCTGTGTAATAGTTACCTATCAATGTTTGTTGCATATTTATTTTGTTAGAAAAATTGTAAACCGAGAGTACTTGAGAAAATAAGTAATTCAGGAGATATTATTAGTAATTAAAGACTTGATCACAGAGGAATGTAGAAGGGGAATGAGTGAAGAAAGAGGGAAGAAAGTGGAAGGTGGATGGTGGAAGGTGGAAGGTGGATGGTGGATGGTGGAAGGTGGATGGTGGAAGGTGGATGGTGGAAGGTGGAAGGTGGATGGTGGAAGGTGGATGGTGGAAGGTGGATGGTGGATGGTGGAAGGTAGATGGTGGAAGGTGGATGGTGCCACCTGGAAGGTGGAGGTATCCATCCATCTTTCCAGCACTGGATCCTGGTGAACTCAGAGTTCTTCCATGCCTGGAGGAGGACTCAGGTGGCTCTGGCATTGGGGTGCAGGGTGGGGTGGGCTGCGAGACACATTTCATGGGGTCTGTGGGGACACGGGGAAAC